AGCAACATGTAGAGACAAACCAGGGAAGCTGAAACAGCTCAGCTGGGTATTATCCCTCTAAAAATTCCCTTGATACCTTCCTGTAAAACATCCCCTTGTAAGAAAATAACCTTTATTGGGGCAAAACAGTCTGGTTGAAGCTTTTTTACCCTCCCTATACTCCCCCATAGAGATTTATCTAGCTCTGTCTAGCCCCTTTGTGTAAGTAGGATTGGGCATCTGGGGGGGCTTAACACACCCCATGCCTGCAGCAGCCTACGGGTCACCTGCTTGGCCAAGAACCTGCTTCAAAGACTCTGAGCAGCTGCAGAAGTTGTTTTGAAGGGAGGATGTAACCCCAGTCTTCATCTGCCAGTCTGTTCCTGCGGTTTCACACTGCAGCTCTGAGCTTTGCAGCAGAGGCTTCTGGAGATGAGGTTGGCACAGAGATTGTGGGGAGCAGAGCTGGCCACCTTCCCACAGCTGGGAACACGGCTCAGGGGTGAGGAAGGCTCAAGGAAGTTTTGAGACATGGGTGAGCCCATCACTCCTGGGAGAGAGAGATTTGGGGCAGCAGAGTCTTGTTCCTCCAGAGTAGGGGGAAACCCTGCTCGGTGCTAGCACAGGGCCACGACATGTGAGCCATCATCTGCTTCATTCTTGTTGCCAAAACAGACGCTCAGGGGTTTGTACTGGGGTGGGGGGTGTTCCCTGGGCACAGGTGTAAACACTCCAGTGAACTTTCTGGCTGTACCACAATTGCTATATGCCAATGGCCAGGGATTTCACCACCCACAGCCTGGATGTCTTGGAGTGGCACAGGACCACAAGTCAGCCCCTCAGGGCAAGTCCCCAGCCTGGCTCAGGGTGATGCCACCAGCAGGAGGACTGGCTGACCAGAGAGCACTGGTCCCAAGGTCAGGAATTCCCCTGGCGCCTGCTGCAGGCTGCTCCTACAATGCAGACAAGATAGCAGAGTCACACAATGTTTAGGGATAGGAAGGGAGAGTGAGATGGGATTTCCTCCTTGAGCAACTCCCTCTTCTGGAAAAGTCCTGCCAAAAAGCCTCTGTCTTGCCCCAGTGCCATAGTAATCCATCTCCTGCAGAAGTTGCTCTTTCAGCTGGAGCACAAAACAGCCGGTGGTATTTTAATTGCTGCAAACACTCGGCACTCTCAGTACCCCATTTGAGCACAGGTTATTTCAGCACCTGCCCCATGCTGGGGTTTTTGCCCTACAAAGAACCACAAACTGGCCTGAGCTCAGCAGAGCTAGCTATTCTAAGGCAATGCCAGGAGGGTGACGGCATCTTGGGAAGCACTAGCATGGCCTCTGGGACTCACTCAAAAAGCAGCATCATCCTTATCCCTGAAGCATCCCAGTCTCCAGAGAAAATACACTTCATAGCACCACTGTCCAGGAACACCTCTGCTCCCTCCACTGGCTCCAACCCACCCAATCCAAGAGCAGTCAGTGAAAAATCTCCTGCCTAACTTCTGTGATCAACAGGGAGGTGGGAAGGAAAGGAGAAAAATTAGCAAGGCTGTGAGCAGGGTAAGGGCTGGAGGCAAGTCCATCCTGGCCCTCCACACTTTAGCTTTCAGGGCTACTGCAGGGAAGAGTCTGGGATTTACACTTTGCACATTCACCAGCAATGTCGGGGGCAAGGGCTTGCTTCCAGGCAAAGGCAAGGCCAGATTTCACAGGTTGCAACATCCAGAAAACCCCAGGAGCCCATGTTTGCTGCGCAGAGAGGGCCGGACCTCTGCTCTGACTCAGCCACTGCACATCCTCTTTGCTGCCAGCACCTGGAGAGAAGGAGCCACAGAGGCAGATGGGGTATTGTCCTTAATTCTTAACACAATGAAAGGCACTTTGATCCCACCTGCCTTCCTCCCCTTCTTCTGAGGGGAGAAACTTAGCCTTCAGTCTTGGGAGGTGGCGAGCTGGAGCTGGGGAAACAACTGAGCTCTCCAGGACTGGTCCCATATCTCTGGAGCAGCTCTCCAGGACATGATGACTGCTGCTGAGCCCTGTTCTCAGGCATTGCAACTGAATGAGACGGCTTGGGGAGAGAGGAAGAGGGGAAAATCCCTCTGTGCCTATTGCTGGTTTTGTACAGTGAGACTCCAAATGATTCAAAGCTTAAGGCATGCAAGGAAATCCTCTGAGCAATCCCAGGCCTGGTTCCCACAGTTTTTGGTCCCACTATGGGACTACTGCACCAGGTCCCACCACAACCCATCTCCTGCTGACTGTGGAGAAAGGAGAGGGTGGCAGGAGGTGGTGGTCTCCTGTGAAATGGGTGCACTGAGTCCAGCCTCACATGCCAGAGGCAGAGGAAGAAGGAAGCCCTCATTCAGGGAGAGGGTAAACTCAGCAAAGTGAACACAGCCCAGTATCCCTGGAAAGCCAGGGTGTGATCCAGTGCCCTGAAGGGGATGATCCAGTACCCTGAAAGCAGGGTACTGCAGAGGCTTGGTGGAGCAGGAATGCTCCCCAATACCTCCCTTCTCCTTCCACGCTCCATTCTGCCCTCCCAGCAGTTGACTATCCTCGGCTCCCTCCCCTGCCTCTCCTTTGCCCTCCATCCCAGAGCCCTCCCATCCTGCCAGGTTAATTTGAGTTTCTGATTTGCATAAGCAGCAGATCACAATGTTCTGGAAATCCCCTCCTGCAGCCGGAGCTTCCTCCCCACTCTCACAGCGTCACTGTCGGCCTTCTGCTTCCTTTGGCTGCCAAAGCACCGGGATGCATCCGACCGGCACAGCACAAACAGCAGGTCCCAGCTGCTGATGCCAAGAGGGATCCATTGGCAGCCCCCTGCAATGCTGAGCCCACAAGTGGCCCTGGAATGTGCTGCCAAACCAGCTGCATCTGCTGCCTGCTCTGCTCCCAACTTGCTCCAGGGCCAGCTCCAGGCAAGCCACCCATGACAGCCAGGTCCTAGCTGGCCCCTTCACCCCATCAGGCTTCAAGTGAGCTCCATTTTCCCAGCAGCACAGAGGGCAGGGGGATATTTTGGGCAATAAGAGCTGTTGGGCCAATGCCACTTTAAATTCACACCACTGGGCCCACCCTGCTCACTCCAGAGTGGGATCAACTTGATCAAAGCCAGACCTGATCTGAGACAAACAGGACCTGAGGACAGGGGAGTGCCACCACCCTCCATCTGCAGCCTGTGCTCCTTGTCAACCCGTTTCCCACAGCACAGGAGCAATCAGAGTGTGTTCACATAAGTGAGCTGCAACTGAAGGTGCTGAACCAAACTCTCTATGCCAAAAAAAAACCCTAGTGTGTCAACATGTCAGCTGTGAACATCCTCACAGCCACACAGGCATGCTCATAAACCATAGCTGCCATCAGGGGAGTTTTCTCCCCTGGGAGCATGGTGAGATCAAAGGAATGAGGAAGGACCAGCAGGACCAAAAGCCTTTCATTTTCATAGTGAAATTCATGCTGGTGTTTGGGCCACCCTGAGCTCAGGTAAAAACACAAAGAGCACCTGGTTAGAGAGATGGACAGGCACCGAGTGAGGGCGTGCCATCCACAGGTTCCCAGGTGTGGGCAGACCCCAGACCCACAGCTCTTCATCCTCCTGCCCAGCACTCACACTCCTGCCATCCAAACCAGATGGACTAAAGCCGGGTCCTCTTCAGGCCTGGCAGTTCACACCTGGCAAGTGTAGACTAAATGCCCTGCCAGGTACAACTGTACCTGCTGGCAAGGAGCTGGAATCAACCTCTAGAAAACAGAAACATTTAAAGCCTTGGTGTTTATTCCAGCACCAGCTGGCTCCAGCCTTGCTTCTGACCGCCAGTTCTCCTGGTGGATGGTTTCCAGGGATTCTCAGCAACCCAGGAAAACTGACACCTGTGCACCTCCCTGAACAGACCCAGCTCTTCCCTGCTCCCCCAGGAAGATGCATCCTGTTCTGACTCCAGATCCCTATCTGAGATGGAAATACACATGAAACAAGGACGCCTCTTGCCAGATGCAGCAGTTTTTCTGAGGAAAAGCACATGTTTGCAATCCCAGAGAAGTTGCCCAGAAACCAAGCAAGGAAAATGATGTAACAAGGATCTCCAGTTGTCCAAAAGTGAATCACAGCCTCCACGATAGCTCCCCCCCACCCTTTTTTGCTGACTAATACCTGACACGATGGGCCCCTGGGAGGAACAGCACAGGAGAGCCCTTTAAGTGGTGCCTGGCTCCCTATCAAAACCACACAGAGGCTGTCTGGGACCTCCATCATGGGGAATTCCCCTTCTCCATGCCTAAAAGTAAGCTCAGCTGGGCCAGCCTTCCTGTATTTGGGGATTGCAGGCACAAAGCTCCTGCTCTGAAGGGCTCTCACTCCCCCCCAGCCCCTCCAGGACCCAGCCTGGTGAGTAGCACAATGATTTTTTCGGTGCAAGAGAGCCCGGGATGGAGCGAGGGGAAGGCAGGAAGCTTTTGGGGTGCTGCAAAACCAAACCACCCCTTTTGCTCATCACAGAAATAAGCAGGATTTGTTATTTCATGCAGGCTGAGGCATTCATTTATAAACAAGGTGTTTTCTGGTTCTGTGGGACTGCATTTAGCTTTGAAGGTTTTCTGAGGGTTTACATTACAGCACTGGGCCTCTTATTGGGGTAAAATAAGACTTTCAGGGAACAAAAGGGAAGACGTTGGGCATGTGTGGGGTCCTGCTCTCTCATCCCCAGTTGAGACTTCAGACATGAGCACAAACAACACATCTGAGTCCAACCAGTGCTGAGCCAAACCTAGCCAAGCTGCCAGGGTGACGTCCTGCTGCCAGTGAAGGGCAGTCAGGAAAAGGAGTTTCTGAGGTGTTAATTTTTACAACCCAAAACATGAAATTCCCAAGAAGTGGTGGAGTTGTGAATGCAGCTGAGTAAGAAGCCAGGACTGAGGCAGCTGGAAACAGCTCAATCTCCAGTGAAGGACCTTGATGAACCAGCACCAGGTCACCTAAGGAGGACATTTCTGGAGTACAGGCAAAGAACAGCACAGACGCTTAGAGTGGGATTTCTTCACTCCTGATTTATTGTTTTTATTTACACATTTGTTTAATAAAAGCCCACCACCTTCTCTTTGTGGCAAAACTGACAGAAGAAAGAAAATCCGGTAGTGAGTGAGTCCCGAAGAGCAGACTGAATGAGCCCCAGATGCTCCTGTGCTTTGCTCCTCTGGCTGATTTCAGTGGTTCATCACGGCACAATTCCAGCAGCAGCACAGAGGAAAAAGATCCCTGGAATACACGTTCCGGTTAGAGCGTGGAATTTCCTCATTTAACATTAACTTGGAGGCTCGGTGGGGAATTCTCCCTGCCTCAGAGGAACGTCAGCCTCGGCCGGCCGGCAGCACCACCCTCCCTCCTCCTTCCCGGGGCCGAGGCCACCAGAGCGCTTCAGCACAGCCTCCCCTCAGCCACTGCTCCTCCTCGGGGGTACATGAGGAGCCCCCCTCGGGCCCGCCATTTTGTGTCTGCACAAGCCGGGGGAGCCGCTGCAGGGCTCGGCCTCGCCGCTCCCCTACGAGCGCACCCTCCCGCAGGAAGGAGGCGCAGGCCGGCTGATGCCGCCCCTCAAAGGCCTCCTAAGCCGGGCGGGACCCCCGCGCAGCCCTCGGGAAGCCAAACGTTCAGAGAGGATGACTGCTCCGCCATGACGGGCACATTCCCTGCTACCTCCCCGCCCTCCCCTTTATAGCCCCCGCCGCGCGCCGATTGGCTGCGCCACCTGTCCGTCAGGCTGGGAATTTCCCGGGGGCGGAACCAGCCCCGGTGCTGGTGGCGGAGCGGAGGGACCCGCACCGAGACCCCGGCCCCGATCCCGGCCCCGACCCCGATCCTGGCGGCGGCCCCGCCGTGGGGCGCACGGCA